TTCCTATCATTTCCTGTTGTGTCTCAGGTACAGGAAGTAAAGGGAATGGGGACATTGTAATTAACCCCCCCCCCCCTGCTTCCAGGCGAGGGGGGAACTCGCGCCACCACCGCACACTGTGGTTTCATCCACCGTCCCCTATTACTACCATGTCCTATATAGACGTAGGGGCCGGCGGAAGGAACCACTGAGCCCTGAGGGGGGGTGTCCAGGTATCCGACACACCCGGAAATCTATTGTACGTGAAGAGATCACGGTTCTGCAAGACAGTGAAGGTCAGAGGAAGGGGTGGTGGGACAGGTGCTCTTCTTTTGCATCTCCAGGCAAAAACCTAAAATCACAGCTACAATGCATATTTGCTATTTTACCTGCCAAAGGATGTGGATTTCTATCCAGTTGTGAGATTTACACAGCTCTGCCACAACACAGCCCTGTCTGGCAGGGCAGCAGACCTGATTTTTCTCTGCTGTGGTCCAGTTACACTTACAGGTCTTTTCTCTTGCTCAGCCCATGACTAGTAAAAGGAGATGCAGGAGAGGGGTCAGCTCTGTCATTCTGCTCTCTCCTTCTGTCAGCCTGCTCAGGAGAACTATGGGGTCAGGGGATTTTCCCCATAGTTCTCCTTAGGGTAACGGGAGGACACAAACTAGCGTCCTTCCGTCACCCTATACTGAGACGCCGCATCTGAAGCGGATCCCAACAATTATGCCGGGATCCGCCCAGCTGCGTGACTGACAGCTGGCTCTGCCTATCAGAGCCAGCTGTACCTGCCCCCTCCCCCGTCCGTTCTGCCAGTCAGCGTTGGCGGAGCAGGGAGGGGGGAATCCAGCCCCTCCCCTGTCATGGCAGAGAGCCGTGACAGGATCGAGAGGTGAGCGAACGCCGGTCTACTGAGCCGACCTGTGACAGTCTCATTGTCACAGGTCGGCAAGAACTATGAGGTGAGTGAAAAGCACTCACCTCATAGTTCTCCTTTAATCACATTCTTCTTAAAATATGTTAGAACAGAGCTGGACATATATGTGGAAGCGCGGCGGTGCGCTTTAATGCTGTGCTACCATGTATATGTGTACACCCGGCGGGACGGGGAGCGAGCTGACTCAGCGCAGACGTAGACAAGGCATGTGACACTCCTGGAAGTGTGTTGGATGCAACGAGGCCAAGAGACCAGATCAGGGGAAGGGAGGAGGGACAGGTCAGTATAAACGTCCTACTTTTCCAGGTTCTGCCTATTTAGGCCTCATTCACGCGAGAATCGGCCGCCACGTACAGCACCGTGCTGCGTGCAGGGACGTATCGGGCTGCTCCTGGGAAGGACAGGTGCTGCGTGTGATTAGTATGCAGCCCCTGTCCTTCTCTATTGGACTACACGGCCGTACGCTGCCCTACGCTAACCCGCCCTGCACGTCGGACCTGCACTTGGGGTGAGCGTAGGGCGGCGGGCGGCCGCGTAGTCCCATAGAAAAGGACGGGGGCTGCATACTAATCACACGCAGCACCTGTCCTTCCCGGGAGCTGCCCAATACGGCCGCGCACGGAGCTGTACATGCCGGCCTTTTCTCGTGTAAATGAGGCCATTGAACATTGATGCTGAACTGACCAAGAGCTAAATACACGGATTACATACACATATTGGATCTGTGTTACCTGCCAAAGGATTCGAATTTCTACCCATCCAGTCCTGATATTTACACAGCTCTACAACACAGCACAGCCCTGTCTGGCAGGGCAGGGGACCTGATTTTTCTCTGCTGCAGTTCAGTAACACTTACAGACCATTTCCCTACCCCAGCCTGTGATTAGTAAAAGGAGAAGCAGCAGACCGATAAGCTTATCGCTCTGGAACTCTGATCTCTCCTCCTGTCAGTCAGCATAGCTGGTACAGTGACCGCGCTGTCACTGATAGCTCCACAGCAGCCAGTAGGGTGCCTCCCGATCGCATGAGCACTGTGACAGCCAAGCACAGCGATCACATGATCAGCAAGCACACGTAACGCCTTTGGCGTTATCAACCCTTAAAGGGCCGGCTCCTGCCCGCTGGGTTAAACTACAACTGTAATCATGTTAAAGGGCCAGACCACCCGAAATAGAATTCAGCTCTAGGTTGATGTCGGTGGGTTTATACACCCTGTGAACTTAGATATAAACCCAATCGCTAAAATCGAATATCAGCTTTAACATGTGAATGGCATTTCAAACGTTGTTTTCAACCTTTTCAAATCTGAAGCTTTCATTAAAATAAATCCTGATGATCCCGCCACTAAACCACTTCCTGTTACAGGGTGACAACTGTCCCCCAGGTGGCCTTCTATGTTGATGAACTGTGTCTGTGGTGGTGACTGCAAGGGGCTGTGCCGACACACATTGATCAGGCACGCTCCTCTGTTGTCAATGACAGGAAACTGGTCCACAGCAATGATGTGCAGCTGATGTTGGTAGACAGGAAGTGGATGCAAAGATGTCGGAGGAGATCAGCAGAACTGAGATGAAAAAAATGTGAACGCAATACTTTATTTTAGAAAATTGTTAATGATACTCAGGGCTATAACCCAACTTAATGTCATCCAGCTTTTGATCCACTCTCTTAGATCTCAAACCAGGTTTTGGATCTACTTGAAACATCCTTCATCCCTTGGGGACTTCATTTGAGATCTCTGAACCTGAGTTCCCAGCTCCGCCCCCACTCCCCCACAGCCATTTCATTCTTCCCGTGGGAATTTATCTTTCGGGCTGGTGCGGCAGCTTGAGTGAGACTCTTCCGGCTGTGGCCACACATAGAGTTGAGAAAAATGGGACACTTTGCGGGACAATGTATTTAGGGAATGGGCAACCCCTGCCACGCCCCCCAGTAATGTGGACCATTAAATGACAAAATTGATTGGCTAAACCCAGAATTGTTTTTTGTTTTTTTTCACCATTACTTTTCCTTAATTCTGGCTTTTCAAAATGGCGAACAAGATAATTAAGAGATAAAATGAAGGTTTTCGTGCAGAAGAAGACTTCCGGTAGCTACATAGAACTTCATATATATCTGTACATCAGACCAAAAAGAGGGACAACGAAGGAGGAAAGAGGGACAACGGAGGAGGAAAGAGGGACAACGAAGGAGGAAAGAGGGACAACGAAGGAGGAAAGAGGGACAACGGAGGAGGAAAGAGGGACAACGAAGGAGGAAAGAGGGACAAGGAGGATGAAAGAGGGACAACGGAGGAGGAAAGAGGGACAATGGAGGAGGAAAGAGGGACAATGGAGGAGGAAAGAGGGACGACGGAGAAGGAAAGAGGGACGACAGAGGAGGAAAGAGGGACGACCGAGGAGGAAAGAGGGACAATGGAGGAGGAAAGAGGGACGACGGAGGAGGAAAGAGGTACAACAGAGGAGGAAAGAGGGACAATGGAGGAGGAAAGAGGGACAACGGAGGAGGAAAGAGGGACAACGGAGTAGGAAAGAGGGACAACGGAGGAGGAAAGAGGGACAACGGAGGAGGAAAGAGGGACAACGGAGGAGGAAAGAGGGACAAGTGAGGAGAAAAGAGGGACAAGTGATGGAGGAGGAAAGAGCGACAGAGGGATTGGGTTCCAAACATGGGACAGTTGGGATCTCCAGCTAGTTGGGCGAAACGTCCAAGCAAAGTCCACCCATAACCCAAATTATCACCTTTGCTGGACAAACCCTTTTGACAATGCAAAAAGCGGCGGTGGGGAGTAGAATGCTGCACACTGCTCCCCTATAAACATGATAAATATACAACAATCACTCTTTCGTCAATGGAGAGTTGAACGTTGCACCCCGCTCCCCCCAAAAAAATAAAATTATATTAAAAGTGATCGTCGAGCAAAATGAGGCTCATGCCAAGGGACAGACAGAAGTCTCCAAAGCCGGCGGGAGGGCTGCCAATCTAGAAACTACGGAAGAGGTAGCACTGTGCTGTAAAGAAGCTCAGGTGGGGGATGAACACCGTTCCTCACTCCCCCACCCCCCCTAACAAAAATAAAATTAACTTAATCACCTATACAAAATCCAATTACATTAATATTAAAAGTGATTGACGCAAAAAATTGGGCTCAAGCCCAGGGACAGACAGACAAGAGATAGTGCCTTGTTCTCAAGAAGCTCAGGTGGGGGGGTTGAACGCTGCACCTCACTCCCCAAACAAAATAAAATTATATTAAAAGTGATTGTCATGCAAAATTAGGCTCATGCCCAGGGACAGACAGAAGTCTCCAAAGCCGGCGGTAGGGCTGCCAACCTGGAAACTATGGAAGAGATAGTGCCTTGTTCTCAAGAAGGTCAGGTGGGGTGTTGAATGCTGCTCCTCACTTCCCCAAACAAAATAAAATTATCTTAATCCCCAAATAAAATAAAATTATGTTAATTAATATTGAAAGTGACGGACGTGAGAAATTGGGCTCATGCCCAGGGACGGACCGAGGTCTCTAAAGCCAGCGGGAGTGCTGCCAACCTTGAAACTATGGAAGAGGTAGCCCTGTGTTGTAAAGAAGCTCAGGTGGGGGGTTGAACGCTGCACCTCACTTCTCCAAACAAAATAAAATTATTTTAATCCCCAAATAAAATAAAATTATGGTAATTAATATTAAAAGTGATGGACGTGAAAAATTGGGCTCATGCCCAGGGACGGACCGAAGTCTCCAAAGCCGGCGGGAGGGTTGCCAATCTTGAAACTATGGAAGAGGTAGCCTTGTGTTGTGAAGAAGCTCCGGTGGGGTTGGTTGAGCTCCGCACCTCACTCCCCCAAACAAAAATCAAATCATATTAAAAGTGATTGACGTGCAAAATTGGGCTCATGCCCAGGGACGGACCGAAGTCTCTAAAGCCGGCGGGAGGGCTGCCAACCTGGAAACTATGGAAAAGGAAGCGCCTTGTAAAGAAGCTCAGATTATATGGAAAGTTCCCGGGCTCTCATTATCCTATACGGCTAAAGCGAAAAACAGGGACGGGTTAATTAGCATGACCAGATTGGCTTAGCCGAAGAGGCTCACCTTGGTGTGGTGTCTTGTGCCAGCTGTCTGCTCCAGCAGGGACGAGGAGTCTGCTCCCTCCGGCAGCTAATGAGAGCATGCACTGAGGATAATGTCTTCAACGCTTCCTCTGGTGCTTGGCCATGGAGTCGATCAGCTGAAATTCAGAGTCGCCCGGATGCTGGCTGCCTACATCCCCGGCTGTGGCTTGCTCCTCACTGATCTCCTTCTGTCTTGTTCCTGCTTCATCTCCCTGTGTCTCCCTCCCTCAGCTGCCCTCTCTCCTCCACCTCCCCTTCTCTACAATTTTTTTTTTTTTTTTCTCACTTATTTTTTTTTATGTGCTTGTTTCTCCTCATCTCCCTCCACCATCTCCCTATCTCCCACCACCGGTTCTCTATATTTCCTCTTTATTTCCCCCAAGTCCCCTTCAACTCCCACTGATTAGATCTCTGCCGCTTTCCGTCCGTCTCACTTATTTTCATTAGATGTGACACCGGTCGCCCCGAGGCTCCGGGAAGGTGACCCCGCGGTCACCCTACCAGCCAAGTACGCCGCGCAAGGTGCCTGCGCGTCGAAAATAAAAGAACGACTTCGGCTTCCCTCCCTGCCCACGCTCTTCTGTAATCACCTAACGAAAATAATGTGGATTTTTTTTTTCCCGTCTTTATAGTCAGAGTTCTTATTCCGCAGCTTTTTTTTTTTTTTGGGCGAGCCGGGGAATAATTCTCCGGCTATTAAGATACCCATCAGCGTGATGGAGAAATAGGATGATTCTTCCGTAGGGCTCCCATGTCGCCCTTTAAGTGGGGGTGTTAATGAAAACTTTGCACTGCGGAGATGTATTTTACACCAAGTGCTGCAGGCTTGTCTGAAACTTCCTCCCCGCCACAGAAGAGGCGAAGGCAGGATTATTAAAAGGGGCGATGCACAGTTTATATACACTGCAGTCGCTGGAAACGCTTACGCTTTTTTTTTTTTTATCTCGTATAGAAGAGCTCAGCTGCTTTTACAGTTGTAAGCAAAGGTTTGGGCACCTCTGGTCACATGATGCCCCTATTGATCTGGGGGAGGGGGGGTGCAACTGATAGCAGAACTCCAGCCATGGATGGGTGAGGGTTAGGCCCCCGGGCAGCATTTTATTTTTAATAGAAATCTGGCACAAAAGGTTTAAGGTATGACAACAATATAGAAGTATCATTTGTATACACTGATTATTAAAGTAGTATAAAAGGAGAACTATGGGGTCAGTGTTTTTCCCCATAGTTCTCTTTAGGGTAACGGGAGGACACAAACTAGCGTCCTCCCATTACCCTAAGCTCAGTATATCGCAAGCTACAGCTCGCGGTATAGTGAGACCGCCGCATCCGGGACGGATCATCCCGACATTACTGTCTGCATTCATCAAGCTGCGTGAGTGACAGCTGGCTCTGCCTATCTAGAGCCAGCTGCAGCCACCCCCTCCCCCATCCGTTCCGCCAGTCAGTGCTGGAGGATCGGTGCGGGGAGGGGGGAATCCCTGTGGGGAGCGGTGACTGACAGTCACGGCTCTCTTCAGGGAGATGATCGAGAAGTGAGCGAACGCCGGTATGTGTTCGCTCACTTCCTGATCTATTGAGCCAACGTGTAACAGTCTCATTGTCACTCACCTCATAGTTCTCCTTTAAATTATTAAACTTGTTTTTCAATAATGAATCTGGATCAAACAAATATACATTGCCCAGCAAAAGCATTTCTTTACATTTTTAGCCAAGCGCTTACAGTCTTCATGTTTCTGAACAACTCCAACTCTCTACGATCGGCTTCCCCTAACTTCCTGTCCATTACAAGTGTAGCGCCCTCTAGTGGTCACTACTAAATTTAGTGTATATCTGGACTGTAATCAGTCTAGGTACTGTTTATTCAGAGTTCTGCATTCTACAGGTGTTTCTGAGTTTGGTGGATTGATTGCTCCTCCTGTTGCTGGGTTGTGGACTCAGCATACAGTGAGGGAGGATCCATCCTCAGACTGTGACTGATAAAAGATTTGGGGGACACTGCACAGAACTCTCTCCCCTCTAGGGGCCTCTCCCTAGGAGGTCTGTGTGATACAAGTGACTGGCCTGGGCCTCAGCACATGGCAGGTGCTGAGGGCCCAGAGGCCTAGGATACTACGGATGCTTAGCTTGGGCCTTAGCACGTGGCAGGTGTTGGGGGCCTAGAAGCAGAAGATTCTACTGGATATCTGGTATGCGCCTCAGCTGAGGGCCCAGAGACTTCAGATGCAGCTGAAAGGAGACCTGATGGAAGCTGGGCTGGAGGTGGAATCTACTTGTCGAGGAGTGTCGCAGAGGAGCTGGTGAGAGCTACCATCTGGAACCCTGTAAGAGATCCCTCACCCTATTCCCAGGTGCTTGCTATAGGAGAAGCCAGTTTTTGCTACATGTGTCCAGAGATAACTCTCTTCCCTTCAAGGTCCTGGACTATCTTGGCTGTCCGCAGTATTATTCCTATCATTGGTCGCTCTGACAGGACCACTGTGCTATGAGCTGTTAGGGGAGAACGCGCAGTCCTCTGAAGTATTACCTGAGTATCCTACAGATTCCAAAACCTTTCTCCTGTTGAACCTGCAAATAAATACTGAAAAGACCCTCTGACTTGAGCCTATTCTGTTCCGGAGTGTCGGGGGTGCTGGATCTGAGAAAGGGGGCCGGAGGCTGGCAAACAGGTAGGAGAACCCTGGTTCATATTCAGCGGCTCCTTCCGGGGTGAGCGCTACACAAGATCACAAGGGAGAGAGCAGTCTGCAGCAGTTCTCCATCTACTAACTTGGAGAACGGAAGAAGGAGAGGAGTGGATTGCATTTGCTGTGTCTTTGTGTTTGTGGAGACACACAAAGCTTACTAACACACAGTGGCGTCACAACGGGGGTGCGGCCCACACCCGGGTGCCACCATTGGAGGGGTGACACCAAAATGACTATGAAAAGTCAAGCACTCTTGCAACCAAACATGATCGTGGCTAAAACAGCCGCAGGTCACGTGTGCAATTGTGCGCGATCGCGCGTCTCGGATCGCCTAGGTCTGTAAAATCAGGACCAGTGCTCAGGGAACCAGCTAATTCTGCAGGAAGCTAAAACTTTTCAACATCAAGGAGCAGCGTCCATTGTAAGTGATTTCATCAGCATTTGAAGTAGCTTTATAACCTTTTGGCTTTGATGTCACTTTAATGCACTAATGTTGTGGTAAAAAATCAAGAAACTGGAAAATTAAGGGAGATTACACAAATTTGATGCTCGTAGTGCCCTGGAGGGATGTGAACGCAGGTTATAGAGCCGCGAGGCTAAAGTGCTAATCGCTTATCAAGTCACCTCACTCCCTGAAAAGTCTTCCAATGTTTAATCCCTCCGGCTGTCATAGAAAGGTAATAAAGTGTCAGATGGAGATGACAGATCAGACATCCGCAGGGACGGAGGTGTGACAACGCCATGGGAGATCTTATTGGAGACCTCAATATAGAAGACCAACATCGAGGCGTTTCGGCAGAACACTTCACAGAATTAGGAACAGAGAATGATCACATTGCCGTTACCGAGAGATAAATATGACTCAAGTGTCAAGGCCCATTCTCCCCATGGTGTTGGGCTAAAGGGGCGGTATCCGTGGTGGAGGGGCGGTCAACCTCTAGGAGGGGGAACAGGGGGAGTCAGGCTGCCGAGTTACTGCTGGGAATGGGGTTTGACAGGTGTAAATCATTTAACATCTAGAATTATACCAGGGGCAGACTGACAACACATGGGGCCCCTTGGTAATACAAGATTATGGGGCCCCCCCTGTGCTCCGCCATATACAAGCCCCACCTGCACATTCTTGTGTTACAGAAATTATTCCTCCACACTATTTTCAAAATCGTGGGCCAATTCACTAAAAAAATGAATTGCCCGGGGTATTGGTAGGAGAATTTCAAAATCTTGGCCAATATAGGCAATTTGGAAAGTGAGCTAAATGGCAGAATGCATGGCAGACCTCAGGCCAGAACCAATACACGACAGACCTCAGACCAGAACCAATGATCGGCAGACTGGGCAGATGAGGAGGGTCTCAGCAGGGGCAGATGAGGAGGGTCTCAGCAAGGGCAGATGAGGAGGGTCTCAGCAGGGGCAGATGAGGGGGGTCTCAGCAGGGGCAGATGTGGGGGGTCTCTGCAGGGGCAGATGAGGGGGGGGTCTCAGCAGGGGCAGATGTCGAGGGTCTAAGCAGAGCAGATTCAGTTCACTCTGCCCAGAAGAGGTCATATCAGTCTTCAGTCTTGGGTTCACTCTGTCCAGAAGAGGTCCTATGAGTCCTCAGTCTTGGGTTCACTTTTTTCAGAATAGGTCATATCAGTCCTCAGTATTTGGCTCACTCTGTCCAGAAGAGATCATATTAGTCCTCAGTCTTGGGCTCACTCTGCCCAGAAGAGGTCATATCAGTCCTCAGTCTTGGGTTCACTCTGCCCAGAATAGGTCATATCAGTCCTCAGTCTTGGGCTCATTCTGTCCAGAATAGGTCATATCAGTCCTCAGTATTTGGCTCACTCTGTCCAGAAGAGATGATTTGAGTCCTCAGTCTTGGGCTCACTCTGCCCAGAATAGGTCATATCAGTCCTCAGTCTTGGGCTCACTCTGCCCAGAATAGGTCATATCAGTCCTCAGTATTGGGCTCACTCTGCCCAGAATAGGTGATATCAGTCCTCAGTCTTGGGCTCACTCTGCCCAGAATAGGTCATATCAGTCCTCAGTCTTGGGCTCACTCTGCCCAGAATAGGTCATATCAGTCCTCAGTATTGGGCTCACTCTGCCCAGAATAGGTCATATCAGTCCTCCGTCTCGGGCTCACTTTTTTCAGAAGAGGTCCTATGAGTCCTCAGTATTGGGTTCACTCTGTCTACAAGAGATCATATGAGTCCTCAGTCTTGGGTTCACTCAGTTCTGTAGAAGAGCTCTGTCAATATTTTACATTTCTACTTCCATATAATGCGGAATCATTAGAAGAAGTGGAAAGCATGTGCCGCAGATGAACTCTCAGACCTGAATGATTGGAGAACAGTTTGTCTTCTTTATTTTTCTTCTGGTTGCCATAGCAGTGAAACTTTTTCTTTAACTGATTATGAAACTGTTCCATCGCCATTACCCTTCCATCCAAATGTTAACACGATCGTACAAAACATCGCAGTGAAAGTATTTTCTGTTTTTGTACCGAAACAAACTAAAATGTGAG